TTTCTGACACTGCATTGTAAAGAGAGAAAAACAAATTAAAACAAATGAGAAATTCTGTCAACTATAGCTGAAAATTACTAAAACTGAAATATAAAAATAAATTAAAGCTAAATAAAAAATATTTTAACTACTAACTCTTTAATAATTTAACTAACAAACGTGACATAACATTACTAAAACTACAAAATACTATAATAGTATCATACTAAAATAACACTGATGTGTATAGTGTTGAACTTTGAAAGATTGTGAATATAAAAATATACATATGGAGTAAATCTAATAGTAATATACCATCTTAAAACAATTTCAGAAGCATAAATATCATGCTAACATGCTGTGAACTTACTAGTTTTTCCATTGCACTGTTAGGTTATTACTTATTCATTTATGTTATGATAAGTAAAAATGTATTTATTAGTACAGTGTTTTGGTTTCTATTTGCAGGGTCTCCGTACTATGACAACGTGCGCCCCCTCTCTTATCCGGACGCTGATGCAGTTCTCATCTGTTTTGATATCGGTCGACCAGAGACTCTGGAGAATGTGCTTAGGAAGGTACGCTGATTTTAAAGACATTTGTTCATCGGTGTGGATTGTTTATACTATTGTTTATAAACTGTTGTAGCTCTCCTGAACTGTTTTGGGGATATTCTCACAGTCCCTGTCTTTGTGGTGATGAGAACAAAAGTCCAGACATCTGAGACAAGAGTCCAATGAATGAGAGAAGGAATGTGTGGGAGGGCTTTGATCCTTTGACTATATCACATGAAGAGCCAATAAGAGTTGTTTACGTTGGGCCTCAGAATCAGAGAGCCTTTGTGCCGCAGAATGCCTTGTAACCTCTGATGTCATTGGGAGACAAGAGGTTTTAAGAGAGCAAGAATTAGCCACCCGTTTTGGGCCGCTTCAGTCTTCATTGGTGCTCTCACTGAGGTGGTCTGTGCAACTCTAGTCTACACTGATGTCATCGGATTATTCTAGGTGAACTACTAGAGAACATTACACTCTAGACAAATGCCCATTTCAACCATGTCGGGGTCCTCTACTGACTAGAAGTAGGGATGATACTTAAAACAAAAGTGTTTTAATAAATGGGTCATGAAGATCATAGATTTTTAGACATCCTGGGATAACAAACATGGTCTAGAATCGCTGGATGTTTTATAAACAATGTGGAAAGGAATTTGTGGGACTCTCATTTTCAAAATAAACAGCCAAATCGTATTAGACCGATAAAAGATTACCTAAAATTAATATTATATTCTTGTCTTTCAAAGGAATTTTTAGGTTTTGTTTTCTTTTTATAATCTTAGTTTTTGTAGTTTTACTGATATTATGATGATTTTATAAAGCATATTACTGTGAATTTTAAAATAATGAATGCATTTTCTGTTTTTATTTTGCTTTTAGTCATTTTGTCATGTGCTTTTATTAGTATATATTTATTTCAGTTTTAGTACTTTTAGTAATTCAACTTCAAATTGTTGCCAAATTTCTAATTTTCGTTTAGGTTTTTCATTGAATATTTATATGATTTATGTTTGTCGACAATCTAACACCATGTTTTTTAAATTCTTTAGTGGAAAGGGGAAATTGAGGAGTTCTGTCCCAATACTAAAGTTCTTTTGGTTGGATGCAAGTCTGATCTACGTGCAGATCTGGCCACATTTGTGCAGCTGTCCAATGACATTCCTTCATCGTATGACCAGGTGAGTTTTTAAAACATGTTATAGCTGATAAAAAAGAACAAATGTAAGTTAACATACCATTTCAAAAGCTTGTACTACAAAATAATGCAATTAGGTATCTTCAACCAAAGGTGTACTACAGTAGGTAGTGGATAGTGAAACATATAACATGCATACAGTTCCATATCAGTGTATTTACAGATGTTGTTTTGATGCTTAATGTAGCTTGCAAAACCATTAAAATATTCATTACTGAGGCCCATATTACATTTGAAACATTGACAAAGATACATTTGGCTAAAATGTAACTTTAACTTTTATTGTATTTCTAAAATAAATGTTCTTATCTTACATGAGCAGCATTAAATCTAACATTAATTGGCAGCCCTCATCTAGTACCACCATATACCCCTAGGTGTCCTCCTATTGAAGACTCCTAATTAGAAGATCAGAAATTATTTTAGTTGTCTATTATTTGAGCTATTTTAGGCCGGCTGAGTACATTTTTGACTTCTTGTGTCTTTTAGGGTTCAAATATGGCCAAGCAGATCTCGGCCCCTTACATCGAGTGCTCAGCGCAGCAGTCTGAGAACAGCGTGAGGGACATTTTTCACATAGCCACACTGGCCTGCATCAGTAAAAGCAACAAGAATGTGAAGCGCATGAAGTCCAGCAGAGCCACCAAGAGGACCTCGCATGTATCTAGGCCTGAGCTGGGATCAGTGTCATGTCTACACAAGACCAAGACAAAAACCTGCACAGTCATGTGATTTCAGAAGTCATTTCATTGCACGCATTCATTCTTTCTTCATTCATTCATTCTTATCAGGATTCCAAGTCCATTGGGGAATTAATGGGCATTGAACTGAAGGGAGATATTTTGCACTTCACTTGTATTCATAATATGTACCGGTGAACTGAGTGAGCGACATGTATTGATGATCATGCTTTATTCTCCCCTATTTAAAAGCACCTCGGAACATTTTAACCATCATATAAAAACAAAAACAGGGAAAACATCTGTTCCTATGTACTGTCAAATGAGCACTTATAACTTTGTAGAAGCCACCCAAAGAAGAATTTTGGTGTGTCGTAATATTTCATTGCAATGACCCCCAGTTTATGGGCGTAACTAACTTGTTGGATTAACATGTGTTCAGTGCTGCTAACCTCAGTCCAGCCCTATTAGATCTGACTTCACCAAAAAGTGTCAAATAATGTCACAGATATACATTGTAGGTATTTTTTTCCCCTATATGAAATAAATGAGGCAATAAATTAAGCATACGTGCCGCAAACAGTTGTGTCATTATATGCAAACACATTCCAAACACAATATTAAAAAGCCTAAAAAATTTTCTAAAGTCCTTTGTATATTCAGATTTTAAGGATTGCCTGTATTCTTTCTTTAAAAGAGCTTGCATGACAACCATTAAAATATTTTATGTCATGACTTTACCAGTGTTGTTGAATGTCTCTTGATCATTAAGCTGGAAAAAAAGATCATTTGTGCTATTCTAAGAGATGATAATTACACAAGTGAAGCAAAATAGGTGCCGTCATGTGCAATATAGGGAGATAAGGGAATATAAGGTTGTGGATCTTTCCACCAAATAGCCTATAGACACAAATGATACACTAAAACTAAATAAATACATAAAAAGTGTCTGTATGAATGTCTTTTTGATTTTTTTTTAAATGCTTTGGAATTTTTATCATTTTGAAATGTGACAAGCTTTACACTGAAATAGAAAAAGGTTTACATTAAAATAGAAAATAACTGCATTTATGTAAATTTCCTATAAAGTGTCCTATAATTATTATTTCCAATAATGCCATCTTTACATTTAAATTCTTGTGACCAAAAGCAAATTTATAATGTCTTTACTGATGGTTCATTTAAATGTCAATTGTGAAATGCATAACGTGCTGTGATTTATTTATTTAAATGTTAGCTATCCAAAAGTGCCTGGCAAAATGAGTGATTCCTGCGTTCTAGTGCATTCAGTTTGGTCCAACACTACCATCTGCTGGGCATAATTGGACATTCTGGTAAATTGGAAACATTTGTTTCTTTAAGTAGCCTATACTGGATGGACACGAGAATGCAGATTAATGAGTCAAAATGCAAATCATCTAGAATATAATTTTAGCAAGGAGCGGGAATGCAACTGGATGATTGTTCAGTGCTTGCAAAATTAGCTTTGTGATATAGAAAAGGAAAATATGTTAAAAATCATAATCATTGAATTCAAACTCACACTGACACATTCCTTTTGAGCTCTCTTCCAGATCGTTTGCGTTAACTTTATCAGCTCTAAGACGTGCACTGTGAAGGTCTGAAGTGTCCAACTGAACTTGAAAATCTAGTTTTATTTGTTGAGATAAAAGTGGAGCAGAAAATAACAAATATGTTTCAGTTTAGGGCATCAGTGAATTCTCCTTTCATATCTAAATAGACTAAAGGGTGGCCCAAACCTAAAGATTTAAAAAAAAAAAAAAAAATCAGATTTTCAAAAAGTAAGATACCACAAACTAAACATGACGGTAAGTTTAAGCCTGGCCTCGCCTGAAATGTATGCGAGATAGGCGGCTACAGTGAGGGGAGGAGATAAAAAAGTGTAAGCAAGCTGGATAAGTTCTCTCTTCTCGTAGTGGATCAGACACCTGCAAGATCAAAGGCAGATATAGCGGGATTAACGCTCATGTACGGTGTTGGAGTGTGTTTCAGACAGTGTGGTCTGTCATAAAAACAGAAATAAATAAAGAAATATAAGAAGTAAATGAAAAAGAATAAGGTATGAGGGTTAAGTCTTCTCAAAGGTTTTTCCTGTTTCAAATTTAATGAGGAGGAAGCGTGATTCCAGGTATTAGGTCTTCTTTGGCGGCTTCACTTTTCACCAATGGAAGAGAGTGAAGGGGCGCTGTCCATCTTCTTTACAGTCTATGGTTGTGATGGGTAGGTTTAGGGATTGGTGTTTGGTGTAAGCAATCAGTACTGTGATTGACAAGACCAATAAATCTTAAGATTCGGCTGCAGTAAAGTCGCGCTAAAGTAATGAGAATGTGATGTATTTGGATATGGGGGTTGCTTCAGGAATCACAATTGGATGTGGGCTGGGTTGGATGTCCACAGCTGGCTGCAGCTTCTCACACCACAGGAAAGTCTGATAAAATAATCTGTAGAACCATCAAGATAATCGGGATTTGGATTGTCGGAAGGTAAGAATTAGGCTCAAAATCGCCCCGATTATCTTGAAGTGCGTGGAGGCCTTAACAGCGAGAGAAGAATTTCATGCAAACAGTTGACAGCGGTTGCAACATGTGTTTAATATGAATATTATTCTTATCAGCAAATGTAATCTGAAATTAGATGTTAAACTGTGATATTATTTTCCTTGAAAAATAAAAAAATATAATTGCAAAGATTAAGGAGTATTTACAAATAACAAAAAAAAGTTGACATTATTTGTAAAAGATCTAAAAAACTTACATTTGATAAATTAATCCACATACAATTCTATTTAAACAAAACTATTTATACAATGTAATGTCAAAAATTATATTACAGTATATACGTATTTATAACATTAAAATAAGTCTTTGTTAATTATAAATAAGAACAGTAAAGCCATTTAATTTAGTCAGCACTACGTATTGTAGTTACATTTTGCAATTATACGTGTCATATCAAATTTGTAAACATCATCATCTAGAAGCACACTGCTTTGAGAAGAGCACAGTTCTTTATATAGAAGCATTTTGCTTTGACTGGTTCCTCTTGCTCTTTTTACCTGTCAATAAACTGAAGGTCCATAGATGTGGCAGGGACCAGCAGAGTTCGTGTGATCGGCTTCACAGTCTTTCCTGAAGGGTCTGGGCGCACTTCATAGTGTTTAATTAACTGCAAAAACAATAAACATAAATAAATAAAAGCTTATTGACCTGGAACATGAATAGTTCACTGAAGTTTAGACAAGTCATAGTTACTCATTGACAAGCAGAATTATCTCTGTAATAGCAGAAGGTTGAATCAAAGGTTCAGACTAGTCAAAGATCTATAACTAACACACTAATATATGATCAGCTAAACTAGGTCAGGGCAATCATTGTTGATAAGGCTGGGTTAAAAATTCATGGAATGACCTAAAACTGCATTTCTTTGATTTCTGGGTAATGGCAAAAATGGCTGGCCGAACTCTGAATTCAGTTCAGACTACAGAAGTCTATTAAAACATTTTTTATTATTATTATTATTATTATTATCTGGATTGCATAGTGCAAAAAGTGCAAAGTGAATTAAAAACAACTGAACAAAAGCAAACGTTTCAGCACATTGCTATCTTCAGTGTTCACAGTCTTCACATTATTCCAAAAATGTGAATATGCCATCAGTTTGAATCATCTGCTTTTTCTACTAATATAATAACACCAACATCTGCACAGCTATGGAAGTGTGCAGACAGTGACTGTGCTGACAGATATGCACTCTTACCCGGGACAAAAGGAGGTACATCTCCAGTTCAGCCACTCTGCGGCCAAGGCAGGCGCGAATGCCGAAGCCAAAAGGCACAGACCCAAAGGGGTGATGGTTTAACTGCTTCTGCCCCCGGATCCATCGCTGAGGGAGAAAAGCAGAAGGATTGGGGAACACCTTCTCATCATAGGACACCGCAAAGTGGCAGAGGTGGAACAGAGTCTGGAAAACACCGAATACACAGCGCTGATTAGTTTAGACGTCCATTTACAGGTGTGTTTATGCAATGGAGGTTTGTAATTCCGCTTACGTTTTTAGGGAACAGGTGGTCACCAACCACTATTTCACTTTCAGCAACGACACGAGCATTTCCAGGAACCACTGGATACAACCTAAGAATGTAGGATTCATTTAGCAGGCTAACACAACACCTGAAATCGCATGTATCGATATGGTACTACATTAGGTTTGCCTTGTTTTGAAAAAGTTTAAAAATATGTTCTATATAGTATGAATGTGTGTAGTATGAATGAAATTTGGATGTATCCGGCATGTGGTCATTATCATGTTGACTGACTGACATTCTTTGACGCCGAACTAACATCGAACTAGCTCTTTTTGCTCTTATTAAATGTTTTTAACAGTATAATGGAGAGATATGGGATATGCTGTACCGAAGGGTCTCTCTAACGATGGCCTTTAGCAATGGCATGCTGGTGATGTCATCACTGGAGGGCACCTTGTCCCCCGGACAGACCCTGATCACCTCCTCATGCAGCTTCTGCTGGATCTCTGGCTCCCGTGCCAAGTGATACAGAGCCCAGGAAATAGTGTTTGAAGTCTAAATTGAGCACACATCGAAAACTCTCAATTGAAAACACTTTACAAATACTAGTGACACTGTTTTCTTTTGTTTTAAATCTAATGTTGCAAATTGTGATGTTGTATAAAATGAAACTACACACAAACACAGTAAAAAAAAAAAAAGAGTGAAGACACTTACAGTGTCAACTCCAGCCAGCAGAAGCTCCGTTATGCTTCCCAAAACCTCAGTGAAGGACATCTGTTCACTGGTCAGGAGGTGTGTGAGATACTCGCCCTCCACTGGCTGACCATGTTTCACCATTTCCTCAATCTCTGTCATCTTCTTCTGCACCAGTTCTTCCGCTGTGCAAAAAACAGCATATTTAAACATGACTGCCAGGCTGACAACTCATTATGTATATAGTTTGAATATAGGTGCTCTACTACACCACCATTCAAAAGTTTGGAGTTTTTGAAAGAAGTATCTTATTCTCACCAAGGCTTTTATTTGATCTGTAAAAATTTCAAACAGGAATATTGTGAAATATTATAATTTTTTTTTTAAATAACTGGTACTCTATTTTAATATATTTTAAAATGTCACATGATCCTTCAGAAATTCTAATATGCTGACTTTGCTGCTCAAAAAAAGTTTTTGTGGAAACTAGTACAGCATTTATTTGTAATATAAATCTTTTGTGACATTATATATTTACTGTCATTATTTATTAGTTTAATTAATCACTAAATAATACCATTAATTTACTTTATTTTTAAATTGGTTACACTTTATTTTACAGTGTTATTGTTACATAAGTTACATGTAGTTACTATAATGACAATAAATTGTGCATAAAAACATGCAACGAACCCTAAACCAACCAAACTCTAATCCTGACCTTATAGTAAGCAAATGTAGTTCATTACTACTACTTCATTACTCAGTACTTAAATGTATAAAAAACACTGTAACAAGGAAATCTTACCAACCTCAAACATTTGAACAGTAGTGTATATATATATAAACATGGCAATCAAAATGTGTTATTCTTAATAATAATTCTATTAATTTTAATATTTTTTTAAACAGGACATTAATACAAAAAAAAAAAAAAAAAAAAACAACTAACCAACTTTGAACAAATGGTCCCAAACAGCCACAAAATGCTTCCAAAAAGGCATGTAGGGCCAGAGAGATTTGGGAAACAGAATCACGATGGGAGAAAGACGGAACATCTCCCCCACAGAGAAGATAAACTTCTGTGTTTCTTCAGGAACCACATCATTAAGACACCCCATACGAGTTTCAAATAACACTGAGCAAATTCCTGATGGGAAAGAGAATAACAATATTACTGTGATGGACACAGTGCTTGTTACCAAATATATATAAAATATAACAAAATTCAACAAAACAATGGATCTAAAACAATACTAGCATTTGAGTTTAACTTGAAGCCCAAGATATTTGAGAGCACAATTGCTTTCAAGGTCTTCTTTTGACATTGATCTATTTGAAAAGAGGTGAAATTAAGATAATGTCTGCTTCACATGACTAGGAGCTATGATAACCAGTGGCCTTTGCTATCTCATGTGTCGCATTGACCCTGAAAGGTTGCTAATATGAATGCCTGGGAATGTCTTTATGGCACAGCCTAATTATCTTGACCTTGAAATTGCCCAGTATTATTTACCTTCAAAAGCGAACTTGTACAATTCTCCTGCCAAGTCATACACCATAACGTCATTGCCTTTTGTTGTCTTAAGCTTAGCCACCTTCTCAATAAAGTCGCTCACCACGCTATTAATGGCATTAGTGTAGGAGGACACGTGTTTGGGCTTCAGCATGCGAGGATTCAGTATGCTTCTGATGTGCTGCCACTCCACTCCCATTCTGTAATAGGACAACACATATATTATGAGTAGTACTGCCATTTCTGTAAGCATGACTGACACACATTATAATTTATAATGATATAGCATTTTATATTTAAAATAAGCTCAGAACATTGAGTATGAGGTATTTTTGATCAAATTCATATGGTGTCTTCATGGTCATTCAATGATTGACCTCTGAACACTGAAAGATACACTCTTAAAAATAAAGATCACCAAAGCAGGTTTCGAAGCAATGCCATAGAAGAACCATTTTGGGTTCCCAAACCTTTCATAGAAAAACAGATATTAAAAGAACCATTATTTTCGTAGTATAAAGAACATTTTTAAAGAATTTTTACACAATAAAGAACCTTGTTTGAAATGGAAAGGTAACAGAATGTTATAATTTCAAGCTTTTTAAGAGTGTAGCCCTCTATTTTTGCTTCAGGTTTGGCGGATAGGTTCCCTCAAAACCAGTTTTCCCACTTACACTTGCATCTATTATTTGCTCCTGTTGTCCTCCTTTACAGAGGAGGTTCACTGTGATTTGATTTCATTGTTCAATGTAAGATCTCAGAAACAATTCACTATTTTCCTCACTAAAAAAGGGTTATGAAGCATACAAATTACAAAAACTGATACAAAAACATGATTTACTTGTTTGATGCACAGCGCCCTCAGACATGTTTCCATTTTGTACATCAACTGCAAGCTGCTATTCAATACATGTTTAGACATGCACAGTGTATTTGTGGCTTCATAACATCTGCAGGTGTCTTTATACCTTTGCAGTATAGCTCACAGATTTTAAGATTTATGGCTTTACATTATCTTTGGAATGAATGCATTAGTGACAGATAAATGCTTGTGCCAGACAGTCGTGACTCGTGTTACTCACTCTGTGAGGGGTCCATATGCATGATTCCGGAGTTTCCGGTAGCCTCTCCAGTGGGGCATGTCAGTGCGGATGGGATGGCGACCCTCTTGCCGCAAAACCTGTTCTATGAGGTCTGCACTGGCCACATTAACAATAACCAATGGTCCATATTTGGACTTCCAAAGTGGGCCGTAGATTTTGCTGTGCTCTATCTGCATTAATTACAAATTTTAAAGTTAATAAACAAAAAAGATTCAGTAAAACATTTTAACCTCACATGACCAACATAAAAAAAAATCTAAAAGTATAGAAGGTACTAAGTTTCTTATCGTCATTAGTTTTCATGTTATAGGCGAGTGGAGAGAGTGAGAGTCGAGTGTCAGTCAGGAGTGGTCATTATATAGATCAGTGAATGACACACACAGTACTGTGCAAAACCCAGGCACGTTAGTATTTTAACCCCTCTTATTTTAAGTTTAAGTGAAAGTATTTGATTGCTATCTCATTTTTGACATAAGTGGCTTTTGCATCTGAGGTCTTCACATACTATCTAACTTATATCTATCTATAACTTCATAAACTTAAATATATATATAGGGGTGTATGAGAGCATTTCGTAGATTGTTTTCATGGAAAATACCATATTCATTAAACGTGGTAACGTTAACATTAATAGACATAAAAAGAACCAAACATGACGGTTTTGAGTTTAAACTGTTTTCGAGTCTTTACCTGCATTTGATGTGTCGTTTGAAAATAACCTTTTCCAAAAAGCCAGTATAATGATGTCAGAAAGCTAGGACCTTCCAAGTCGTCCATGGTTTTTTGTTTATCACCACCTATCAGTGTACTGGCTGTCCGAGTCCCAACGCTGAGGAGGATCGATGGCAAGCATTTTATACCACTGCTGTCCTGCTTACATAAAAATAATCCAGTTCTAAGAAAGGAATTGAAAAACATTTCTAATCCCGTACTCCACAGCACAGTGGATATAAGAGTCCTGCTACAGCAGTGGTCTGCCCTGTAATGGCAGTCTGTGCCAGAAGCAGCTCTTCTTCCTCTGCGCATGAACTTGAGGAAACTCGCTAGTCATCGTTGTGATTTCTGTAAAAGCCGCCAGTGTTGCAATATTACTCCACGGAAACCGTTGTTTCCGACAAAATACCCTGTTGCTACTTCAAATCACAATAAACACCTATGTTAATGTGTTACTGTAATTTCAAGGGAATTCGCCTAGTTTGAAGTGTCATTCACACTGGTTTAATGTCATTATAATTATAGTAAATCAGTAATATTGCAAAATAATATAATTAAAACAGCATTCTATTTTATTGTTTAAATTTGTATCTATTTCTGTTATGGCAAAGCTGAAAATGTACAATGTTTTACTGTCACTTTTAATTGAACGCATATCTTTGCTGAATACAAGTGTCTTTTTGTTGTTGCTACAATTATTTGTCTGTCTCCATTACACTACATACAACAATAAAAGTTATCATATTAATGACAGTAACAGCCATGCAAAGCACTCTTACGCTAAGGGAAAGATTCATCTTTTCTGAGAAGTTGAAGCCAAAAAATTTTCCTATAATTTGTATCCATTGTCAACGCAGTTCAACTGCAGCAGACCATGAGCGGGCTAGCTAGCAGCTCATAGGTTCGCTCACAGAGAACTGCTACAGCCTATGGGAGAACTCGGCTGAACTCGCGACCAATGAGAGGCTGACGTGCACTCATTGCGTTAAAGCCCGCCAAAATGGGCGTGGCTCGAGTGTATAAATTCGCCAGTCTCCCGCCGCCGCTGTACAACAATTTTCTTCACTTCAACGAGGCTTCCACCACTGTTACGGAATTTAGGAGCGCAACGGATCTTGCCCTTTACACCATCACTCAAACCGCTGCGAAAGCCATGGGGATGGGAAATGCATAGCCTGGCCGCCCCGTGTGTGTTTGAAAGACATCTGTGGTTCACACTCACACCGAGTGATTCTGAACGCGCCCGTTAACTCAACCCGCCATCTTCTCCTACCGGCCTCTTCGGATCTGCTGTTGCGGGGATTGTCGACCAGTTTTCCGAAATTCAGAAAGCCTCCCAGGCCATGAATATTCTTCTGCCCCGCCGCGTTAGCTCTACTGCAGGTTGTTCACGCGAGCCCCCTGCACGAGCCCCACCCCAGCGCCCATCTTAGCAGGCTCAAGTCTTTCCAGCGCAGACAGGACGGCCTCCCTCGCTCTCGCTCTGACAGCCGCCACAGGCGAGGGAAACCTGAGGAATCGACGGCTTTCTCCCACCGCGGCCGGACCAACGTCAAAGCTTCGCCCTTTTTCAGTCCCCGCTTATCTGGCTACTGCAGCGGTGTTCGCCGCCACAAACAAGCCGGTCTCTCTTCCCGCTTTTGAGCACCAAAACGCCGTTTTCCCGGCGACTCGGAGACATCTCAAAAAGAGCATAAAAGTTATTTGTGTAGAAAATGTGCCCACAATCCTGTGTTCACCCATACACAAAAGCACCACATGTCCCGTGTGTCTCTCAGAGCCCACCCCCATAAAGCGGTCACAACCTGCCCTAGTGTCAGAGTGCATAAGCGCGCCCACGAGCCTGTGTACGCGTCCCCGCTCTGTTACACGGCCCATAAACTCCTCTGAGTGTAATTCCCGTTGCTACAAACACTAAGTGCGGCCACACACTGTGTACAGGCCGCGAGGTGCAGCAATCAGGGCGATATGGCCATTCACCCGCTAGCGTTACGCTTCAAAGCGTGGGAAGCTATTCCGGGAATCTCCCCGTGGGTGTTAAGCACAATAAAGTACGGCTATCTATTACAGTTCCGCCGCCGCCCCCCACGCTTCCGTGTGCGGCTCGAAACTTAGCAGCGCAGGAGCAGTGCGTACGGTGAGCGGAAGCAGGACACGCGCGTTTTGCTTTCATACTGACCGCGTTGATGCGTGCGGCGTGTTTACAGTCAAAGTACTCTAAAATGGGTAAGTTGTATTTGCTTTATTTCATTTTCAAATAACGTTACATTTAAAAGATAAGACTTGTCAAGAAGCTTATTTTATTAATTAATAGGATATATTATGTAACTTTTGGTTTATCTTTTTGTTTTTGTTGACTGTTTTTTTAATTGATGAAGGTCATTTGATTGACTGTTTGAAACACAATAGATATCATCAATGCGCTTTTGGGTAAAACTCTTTTTTACATTCTATGGTAATTTGAGTTATTTTGAAGTTGTAAGAATGTGAGGAATGTGCTTAAATGACAATTGTTTTATCAAATCTAGTAATTTAAAGGTGCATAAAATATATGTATGTAAAATAAAATCTCCCCAAAAATTGCAGAAATATTATCAAAATGAAATAAAATAAGCTTTCTGGGCAAAAAGGGCTTCGGGTCATTTTGACCTGTGCGGGAAAGATGTTACAAAATGCAAAGGAAGGGTGAAAGTTAAATGCGATAGAGAGACTGTAGAATGCACACACATAATATATATATATATATATATATATATATATATATATATATATATATATATATATATATATATCCATAGTAGAGATGATCTTTGCTTCAGAAATAAACCAATGCTTGTTTTCAAAGTCTGTGCCTCTAAAAACTCATTTCAATAAATCCATATAATGATTGCATAAGGTTCAAAAAGATTTACGGTATATTGAAACCCTCAGTGTAATTGGAGTATTGCTTACTCAATATAATCTTGCCACAACTTGAAGCTACGGCAGGTTAAAACTTTGCAGCTCAGATGCTGAAAATAGGTGTTCTATGAAAATGATCAACAAATAAACATTGTGAAAAGTTTTTATTTGTCTATACACAATTTTAATGATCAAACACATCCCACAGAACTACATTTACCACATCAGTCAACCTTACTATAGTATAATACATAAGATAGCACATCATATTTTGCAATTAGTGCTCAAGAAGGGCTGGATAAAGAGTGAAGAGTGTTCCTTTTGGGCCTGCCAGAGGCGTACGGTAAGACATACAACACATAGGCTTCTACATCTAAAGGAATCCAAGCAGGAATTTAAAACAATGGGTAAACTTCAATGCAAGAGAATGGGATGGATATTCAAAATACACCTTACAAGGCACAGTTTGTTATGAACAAATGTCTCTGAATCATCAAAGAAAATAAATTCAAGTATTGCAGGTCGGGTTATGTCTATCTGAAATTTCTGACTGAGACTGAGCTTGGCACATTAATGCACTCATGCTCCTTAAGAATTCCTAAAATAATATTCTGCTGATTCACATGTGCTTGAGAATGTTAAGCTTCAAAAAATATATATTATAACATGACCACAGTGATCTTTCTAAACAGTTATCTCAGTAATAGATATATTTCTATAACCTTTGAGGAAGCATCTACAGGACATTGCTATAAAACTAACATCTATGCAATAGCATTCTTAACAAAATAAATACTTTTTCTTAATTTACTAATAAAGCAAACCCGCCAGCTTCGTGTCCAATGACAGCTTGTGCTGACGCAAGTATTACTAAGAAACTAAGGAAAATAAAATTTTATTTTATAATAAGATGAAGTTGATAGGGACAGTGATTTGGATTCAGGTTTCACACAAAATTTTAACCAGTGAACAGATACTGTTTCCTGAAATCATGACTCTCTTTCAGCATCAGATGTCCAACACGTCTTTGCAATCAGTCATCGTCACTTTCACTCCCAGACTCACTCAACTGGAGATCATTTTCTGGAATAAATCAAATATTAGCATATTAGACAGACAAAAGATAACGTCAGACCAAATAAAATCCCCCAGCAGCCCTGAAACTCACTGAGCGTGTTCATGAAATGCCCACTGCTCTCTTCCACGCGGCTTTGAGATGTGTTGAGGGCAGAGGTGCTCTGTGGGGGGGCTGGGGGCGCATTATGCGGAGGGCGACTTTCGTCCTCGGAGTCGCTGCTGGAACTGTCTCCACTACTGGATGAGGAGGAACTGTGGGAATCTGAAGAGCTGTCTCCACTGCTCATCTGCTCCAAGTCACGCACCTCGGCCATGAGCTCTGCACAAACACATGAAAACTAGAACAATTCGCAAAAGAATTGAAGTCCTATTCAAGAATTCTTTTACACTAAAGTTTAGGGTCGGTTTTGAACATATTTGAAAATATTACTATTTGTTATTACCATTTAAAATGACCGTTTCTATAGCCGAGTTCACAACGTATGATTTTGGCCACAACTTGGCCGACAGAGACATATTTTGTGAATCCTAAAAAATTCCTCTGATCCTAAGCCAAAAGTTTGACATGTTCACTAACACAGCAGAGTAATGACCAAGATCAAATCTTACCTGCAACAAAATTTTGCCAGTCTTTAGAAGATTTGACGCACAGTCCTGTATTGTCGCTCTACTATGACAATAGTCAAATTAAAGACCAATAATAGCGCAGAACCAAATGACGCAATTAGTGAGAAAACAACAACCCCCCACTTGTAAAAATCACTTTTGATCATTATAAGGTATTCTTGCTGAATAAAACTGTTAATTGCATTTTAAAAAGAAATTTTAATTACCCCAAACTTTTGAAAGGTAGTGTATTTATTTATTTATTCTTTCATGTTTTTGGTTTACCAGGCAAGTGTCCTGCTAATTGTACTAACTGAACTAGCCAAAAACCTTGTTTGCTAATTTTTCCTTCCAGCTTTTAGCAAGACGCACACATTACCTCGCTCAATATCATCCATAGGAGATGATGGAGACATTTTCTCCTTAGGAGGAGAGCTCTTGGTGCTGGAGGGAGCCTTGCTTCCACTGCCTGTCTTCATCTGCTGACTGAGCCTGCTGGTTTGCTGCTCCAGCCGTGACTGAACCTTACTGCTTCCCTCAGCCCTGCAAAAAAAAAAAAAAAAAAGCAGGATTTAACCGTTTATATACTTAATTCAAGCTTTAAAGAAGTATATCATGAAATAAAATATAAATCCATATGGATTGGAACACAAAAGCTATATTACCTGGTCTTCTTGACCGCAATGTTACTGCTGAGTTTCTCCAAACGATACTCTCCTGTGTCATGGTTAACAATGAGAATA